AGAAAATCGTATAAAAATTCGGTTACGCTGTTTTATTATTCAAAATTTTAAGCACGAACTACTAAACTTATCTTTTAAGTAATGCTTAAATAAATACGCCCACACTATTATAAAAATCAGATTTGTTAACATAGGTTTGTAGTTTGTTACTTTTATTTTGTAAAATTTTGTAGAAAACCTGGGTTTGTAATTATTTCAACAAAGGAAAATATTTTACCGAATGTTTTGTAAATGTAAAAAGCATTTTGTTAATTTCAAAGGTTACAGATTATTTTGTTAATATTTAAAAATTTATTTTGTTGAAAAAGTACCTACACGTGATTTTAGGCAGTCAATCAAAATATTTAACACTGACAATACATCAACAAGTTCAACTAACTTCAGCGTCTGCAACCTATGTTTCTGCCTACTTTATTCTAATTTGTAACGTGTTAAGTTCCCAATTTTTAACAAATACTTTTGTAACTGGGTCTACAAAAAAGTTTGTAAAAATAAAGTCCATTTTGTTATTAAATCTACAAAATGTTTGTTATAATTACAAACTACTTATTGAATTAGTTAACAGACTACAGTTAGTTGTAAACTTAACTTAAAATTATGTGCACCTGGATTAACATTGTATAGGCGATCTTAGTAAATTAAAGGTGTTGGTTAGTTACTGGAAACCATTTAAAATTCATTGATTTAATTTTTATTGATTGATTTATTGGTGATTTTTTGCTCATTAACTTAGTTTATCTGCATAAAATATGCTCAAGACAATTATTAAGTATTACAAGAGACCCTGTAGGTGGAAAATGTAAGAAAATATTTATGCCGCATGGTTAAAAAGATGCATAAAAAATTATACTTATGGTTTGGAATGTATTATAATATTGTAGTAGGCTGCTTACTTAAATGATTTTATTTAAATTCAATAGCAAATTTTGAATCAAGTATTTTTTTAATCAAGCACTGAAATTACTAGTCTCATATTTTAAATACAAAATTCAAAGATATCAACTTGTAAGTACAACAAAACAAGAAAACTTTAGATTGCCTTGCAATGAGTTGCAATTATTTACAACGACATTGATTCGGCCTTATACTTTTATAATAGGTATGCAGATAAGTTAGTGTGGTTGCATTAAAATTATACATTCTTATATATTTTTTCGTATCTTGATCTTACGATTACGACCTTATTAAAATTCACACTAAATAGCTCACGCTATTATGCAATAAAAATGCGTGTACGTTTTATTTTATTCCTTTCTATACCTATTCCAGAGTTATAAACTTTTTATTCTTTCACTACACATGGTGGAGTATGTTACAAGGTAAAGTAGGTACCGTCTGCCACAAAAGGGATTTTTACTCATATATTATCACGAGAACTATGAATTTAATCGGTTAAACTAGGCTCAGTAGTTTTTTGTTTGGTTTTTGTTGGAAGATGTTGAATACAAAATAATTTAATAAAATCACGAGACCGCGTAGCGGTCGAGGGGTTTTATTTTTAATTATTTTGCATGAAACTATTTTCCAAAAAGAAAAATTAAATAAAAAACTTGCTGAGCATAGTTTGACAGATTAAATTTATAGGTTGAGTGATATACGTCTAGATTATTTCTCGAATTAAAGGAAACTATTTGACAATTCATAAAATCTGACGTATGTGTCAAAATTTTTAAATATTTTTTTAAAGAAAATTCCATTAATTTAAGGTATGTAATAAGTAATAATTGATATTTCGTAAACTAGATAACTTATTTTTTATTGTTTTTTAAAAAATGTTTGTTAAAACTTGTAAATAACACCATAAAATCGTAAACAAAAATCCAATATGGAGGCTAAAATTTAATCGCTGTTAAAAAGTTCTAGTGATTTAATCGCTTATTTAAACGAAATTTATTCGAAAATTCAAGGCTTTTGATTGGTTCATATTATAATGAGGGAAATAATCACAGTTCATTTTTTTTATCTGGACTTGTGTTATTTTGTTAGGTTGGTGGCTTATGCCAGTTTGACTTAGTATTATTAGTATTTAAAAATGGTACTTCTGCTAAAGAATTTAATTAAATAATTTGACACTATCAAATTGACAATAATATTTATTATTTATAATTTACTTGTCAATTATATATAAAAAGTTAATTATGCCAAAAATAATATCAACGAATTCGAATGTAAAAACCCTTTTGAGGGCAAAACTTTATTTTGATGAAATTATGCCAAATTCCACAATGGAAGAAAAAGTACATCGCCTTAACTGCACAATAATTTATACATAACCACAATTAGATTTGTAACTAGCTTAGTTTGTTTTAATCAATCAAGTTATATAATATAAAATGTAATTAAATGAATATTCCTTCGTTGAAAAATTTTTACTCAATGGGGCGGGGGGGGGGTCCAATGGGGCGGGGTCGGTTGGGTTGGGTTGTTGGGTTTGGGTTGGTTTCGAAGCTTCGCAATTTTTCTGTACCCAGACGTTATTTGCAAGCGCGAGATGACTCGGTAAAGCAGCGGGACTCGGCAAGCGGGCGGACTCGGGACGTTGGTTAAGGAAAAAATATCTGCCTCCCGTGTACGAGTTTTGGTTAATGCCGCGCATGACGCCACTTGATGAGTAGTTGCCGTGCGAATACACGAATAATAGTAATATTATCAAAGAACATAAAGAAATATCTGGACATAGTCCGTTTTTATTAAATTTTATATTGAAGAAAGTGTTACCTATAATATGGATAATAGATGCCTTTAGTCCTTGATAACATTTAGGGCTGTATACTATAGTTTAAGCGTTTGTGTTTTAAATTAAACTTATAGCCACTGTCCAGAAAATGTTTATAGGAAACAGAAGCGGTCTTAACGTTAATATTGTCTATTCTTTTTGTGGCATTTAACCACTGTTTCCACAAATCAAAGTTTTTCGGGAATCGATTAAATTTAATGTTTTTATTTACTTAAAGGGTTTTTCTTGGACTGGTTGTCTGAATTGCATCCAAATATGCCACACCTTATTTTTATAAATGCAAATGGTACGACACAAACTAAAACACAAACAAAACAAGTTAACGCAACACAAAAACAATAATAAACAAACAGAACAGGTTAACACAACGCAATAACAATAATTTAAACACTGAAAAGTAATTCGAACCTTACCGAAAGCAAAAACAACAAGTTAAACAAAAAATAGAGCAAGTTAACATCCAACAGCATCGCAAAAACAAGAATTTTAGCAGCAGATAATTAAAAAGCACGTTAAAGATTTAAAAACACTCATCAAGTGACGTGTTTAAGCCCCGCCCAGCATGCGCACCATCCTATCTTAAGGTGTATGTATCTTGGTGGGATTGTAAAGCAGTTAGAGGAGGGGAAGTAAAACATTGGCGGACGTTTAATTGTTTTGATTTAATCGTTTTAAAATCTTGTACTGCACGCTTATGGCAGAGGGGAAATAAATATTTCGTTATTCTATTCGTTCAACAATGGTTGTTTGTCTCTCTTATTTATACGTTTATCTCACTTATTCGTACGTTTCATATAGCATGCATCTTTGTTTATTAAACGGCCTAAAAGCCCATTACCATCCCTGTATATTATATAATATATTATTATTATTAATATATTATTATTATAACTTATTATTCACGTTGTTAGCCAATTTTAATATTCACTGTGATTTGAACCAATCGGGTTTTAATTTGGGAGAAGGCGACTATAATAACATTTAAAGTTGGTAAAAAGTTAGGTTAGGCATTTGGAATCTGTTAGATTTTATTTATTTATTTTTAAAAATCATTTAATTATCTACTTATTGGAGTAGATAAAGTATAGTATGGGGTAGTTAAATTTTTTCTGACCTATACTTTTTATGGTTTTATTCAAGGCGTTTTGTAATATTAAACATTTCTGTGAAATCAGAATTTCAATTGAGTTTACCGTTTTCGAGATATTTACAAAAAATATAAATTTTTATGACGTCACAAACCTCGCCATGTGACCAACATTCTAAGATTTCTATTGGTTGAAAATTACCCTGTTGTCAAGTTGTCTTGTTAATGATTTCATTCGGTTATGTCAGAAAATACCCGAAGAGGTTATGTACAAATACTGTCAATGTCAGTTGAGTGAAAGATGGTCACCAAATTCATTAAGTACCTATCTTCCTTATTACGAGGTATCATATTACTGTTTGATATTTTAGAGTCCAAGATATATCTAAAAGAATATAAAGAACTAGGCATTATACTAATGAAATGCATTTACGACAAAATATGATTATAATTATAGGTACTTACTTTATTTGTTTAAAAGCTCTAATGTTCAATGTAACCAACCATTCCACAAGATTCCTCTGCTTTGGAATCCGTTATTAATAAATAACTTATCTAATATCAATTACAAATAACATAACAATAACATTGATTTTCAATAATCTAAATTTAAAAAAAACATAACCCGAAAAAAAGAAACGTCAAAAAATCAATTCTTCTTCTTCTTCTCAACTAAAATTATCTAAGAAAATTATAGATCGTGGTTTTAAAGCTAAAATATTATAACGTGGCGCCATCTATCGTAAGAATCTTAAACTAAACACACTGGCAACAATAGAAAAAGCTGGCAACGTTGTCAATAGCCTAGTGACGTAATTAGGATATTTTTTTTTGTAAATATCTCGAAAACGGTAAACTCAATTGAAATTCCGATTTCACAGAAATGTTTAAAATTACAAAACGCCTTAAATAAAACCATAAAAAGTATAGGTCAGAAAAAATGTAACTACCCCATTGCACTCGAGATTATGCGCGACCAACTTGACAACTGTATTTACCAACCAAAACCCTAAATTTGCAACGTTGCCGCAGTCCAGATAAAAAAAATGAACTTTAGGTCTGGTAAAAATATCATTAGGATCTATCAAATAGTTTGCAAGTTGGATGACGGTTTAAAAAAATAATAATTAACCAGGCACTGCGCGAATTTTTTTATTGATTTTTTTGGCAATTTACCTCAAGCTGGATTCCAAAAAGAACTCGTGATCTGTCCTGTTTTTTCCTCAGTTCTATGGCATTTTCTATGGGCGCCTCCACCATCGGGGGGATGGCGTTTTCTATTGGACTCATCTGAAATAAAAAAGATGTTGATAAATCAAATACAATTAATTTTGGTGGATAACTTGAGTAATTATTTCCATCAAATAATAATTGGTCGTTATGGTGTCTTGAACTTTTTCTTTCGAATTAAATCCGAAAATTGCGAACATTTCGACACACTTGTTTAATTATCATGTTGTAAATACAACAAACAACAAATTTTTGTATTCATGCTCTGTTTGCTTATAGCCACTTTACGCCACTTGTCGGCTTTGTACCTTGGCAAATGTCCATTGCTTATGACTTGTTTTGCTGTGTTCTTAGTTTTAAAATTAAAATTAAAGTGATTTATTCCAACACAAATTTTAATTTTTAAAGGGATTTCCACGTCTGCCATGGGTACAACAATTGTTTCTTGTATTCGCTAATAGACTCGGTTACATAACGATTTAATTTATTAATACCCAATATACAGTGATCGCCAAAACTATGGAACAAATACATTGAAAAATTCGGATTTTTTTCTCAATTTTTTAGCAATATGCAAATTTATATCTTTTGGGCTGATGGTTTCGAAGATATTAAGTATTAAAAGTGAAAAATTTATAATTTTTAATAATGTTTTATATAATTTCTTTTATTTTTGTTGTTTTCGTTGTTATAGTGGAACAAGTCAATAAAATATTACATTATAACCTTAAAAAATTGTATATATAGGTACTTATTTTATATAAATAAACACAATATTTATAACAATAATTGTTATATTAGGCCATCCTTAAGAAATAAACTGAAACGTCAAATTTTTCGATACAATTGGCTCAGAATCTCCCAACTGAGCATAATACGAGGTGTGTTCAAAATATATCGGGAATTTTTGTTTTTCGAAACAAAAAACTCGATCTTTGGGATAGCCTTTAGTTTTTTCAGCGATGCGCTTTAAATGTCATCTATGCCTGCAAAACGACGGCCCTTTAAGGATCTCTTTATTTTTGGGAATAGGAAAAAGTCAGACAGAGGCATGTCTGGCGAATATGGAGGCTGGGGAATCATTACAGTATTGTTTTTGGCCAAAAATTTTGTTCAAAATTTAACAACTTTAGAACAAATTTTGCTGCCACGCGTTTCATACACAAAACATTCGAAAAAATTTCATGGGATGAGCCAATCGATATACCAACATCATTAGCGACTTCTCTGATGGTTCATAACCATTTATTCCACTTTTTCCATGTTTTTATCGGTTGTTAATGTGCTTGTGCGTTCGTCATCTTCAACGTCTTCACGGCCATCTTGGAAACTCTTATACAACTTGTAAACTCTTGTTTTACTTATAGCAGACTCACTATAGGCCTTTGTTAACATTTCACAGAATTTATTTCATTTTTTAAGCAAAATTGGATACAAATTCTTTGATCCATTTCTTTTAACGAACGAAAAATCGCCGAGCTGATAAAACACGTCTAACCTTAGCGGCTGCTACAGATAAAGTAAACAATGAAAACAGCTAAAGTTTTTATCATACTTCGGGGGCATGTATACCAACATAATAAAGAAAATTTTATGACAAGCGGACCCTCCAAACCCGCGAAATTTAACAATTCCCGTTATTTTCTGAACACAGCTCGTATGTCAGAAAAAGTCCAAGACACCTTTTTTATCTTTGAAGTTTGAAGACACCCTAAACGAAAACTGGATGAGTCTGCATAAACAGGAAGACCAAAGTAAAAAAAAATGCGACAAGAAAACTATAAAAAGTTTTAACAGTTGAGTTTTTCACATCATTTGCCATCTTTACTCTAGCTTCTTTTTCTATTTCTTCTTAGTTAAATATTTACTGAAAAATACTGTTAATTGTTAATTTTTTATTGGAAAAATATATTTATGTATAAAGGCAGTTAAGTCGTATTTTTTTTCTCGAATGTGGAAATTAGTATTAATAACCACGTGAGTGATCAAAAATGACTTTAATGCCGAGGTGCACTTTAAATTTTATCCGAAATCACATTTAATAATACTAATAATTAATATTGATGATCAAATCAAATGTCATTTGAATGTAGGAAATGTCTACGTATATTGTTTGTTGCGACGGTTATGATATATTTGCCCGCCGCGGCGATTTTTTAATCTAATTAATAAAATTAACTTATTATTTTTATTAAACAATATTTTATGAAAGTTCTACTTTAATGCCGATTTCGGATAAAATCTTTTGTTCTTTGATAAAAGTAATATTAATCTGAATTTAGTCATCATATTTTTCAAAAGTATTCCCAAAGGTCCAAACAAAGTATTCCTGCACAGGAAATTTAAAAAAAAAATACAAATTAATAAAAAAATTAGCATAACCAGCATAAGCGTTCTCCAAATATTTCAAAGTATTTAAATAAGGGCCATTTAACAAAATTGTCATTTTGTTACGTGTGAAAGAAGATTACGAAGATTATTACGTTTTATGAAGAAAGAAAAGTACCATCCATACAAAATTAGACTAGTGCAGGAACTTAACGAAGATGATCCGGACTACAATTTTGTGATACTCTGATGATTTTATGTCAAAATTGTAGATACTGGAGCAGAGAAAATCCTCATTGGGTAGTGGAGGCAAAAAGTGAATGTCTGGGCAGGAATGGTGGAAAATCGGATCATAGGTCCTTTCTTTTTTGACAACAATATGACAGGACAAACGTATTTGGAATTTTTGCAAAACTCTCTTCTTCCCACATTAGTAGAATTGTTTCACAATTAGAATAAAGGTCCCGATCTACCAAGTGATACCTTTGTACACATGTTTTTTTTAGAGGTGGATTGGCAGACGGGAACCGATGGAGTGGCCAGCGAGATATCCAGATCTCACCCCTCTGGATTAATTTTTTAAATCATAGGTCTACATCAATAGGCCATTAGTAAAGAATTTAATTTAATTGGTTAATGTGTCCATTAAAAGCATTTTTAAAATAATTTTCATGATGATAAAAAATATTTTTTTGGAAATAAATTTTTTTAAATCACGAACTTTTAAATTTAATAATACCCAAAACTATCTTCCCAGGAGGGCATATTGCTGAATTCAGAATTTCATAATCTTTTCGAATATGCAAAAAACAACCGATAGCTTCTACAAAAATGGCGGCAAATATAAAAATTTTACATCAAAATGAACGGAATTGAAAAGCAAAATCGACGTGTATAAGGATTTTTTTATGGAAAAAAGGCACATTTAAGTATAATATGAGCATATGGGCACTGTATAACCAATTAATTAATTTTAATTAAAAGGATTAACTGTATCTCAATAATAAATCATTATTATTATTATTTTTTGCAATACTAATATTAGTTTTTTCTGCCTTATCTAATGAACGCCGAACATTCGCGAAAATCGATTGGTCGGCTGGCAAAAAACTGCCACAACTAAAATAAATGTGACCAGCCAGGATAAAGTACAAGTACGAGCCTTGTAGATAAGTAACAGCGTTGCCAGAGTGCATGCGTGGAGGCCGTGGTAATGGCTGCAGCCTTCCCATGTTATTTCCCTATTGACCTCTATTAAATAACATATTGCCATTTAAAAACAAAAACGTATTTTACCATAAAAAATATGGAAAAGTTCCATTACATTAATAAAATTATTAATTTAAATCATTAGTTTAATGGTGTTCATGGAACATATTACTTAAGTGATAATTTTTAAAATAAAAAACTTCACCACAAGTTTGTTCATAAATAAATACATATAGTGACCGGTAAAAGTATGAAACAAGTTCATTAAAAATGTGCCTTTTAGTAGTTTCCTAGTCGTGGTCTTCGTCTTGTTCGTTATTGTCATTGCCCGTGTCCTCAGTCTTGATGCCGAAAACCATCAATAGATAGTTCAGTAGCTGGATATGTAACTTGTAGCTTTTGGTGTTTTTTTTTAAATTGTTTATTGCCGCTGTAGTGCGAAATTTCTAACAATTTTTTTTTTATTAGTTATTGTGTTGCCCAAGCACGTTTTGTGGTAGAGTTTTGTCTTTTTTTCTTAAATTCAAAAATTAAGTAATGCATTTATTTATTAGTTAAACAAATGACAAGCGCAATTATTCTTTTATCTAATGTTTACAAATCCAGTAGAGTTTGGTTATTATGCTTTTTTTACTATGTTAGGGTTATAATGATTAATGTGTTCGTTTATTCTGTGTGTCTAGTGTTTATTATTGGTCTAGTTTGGATTTGCCTTACACATTTGTTGTTGACAGATTTATTGTCCTACGCAGTTACGTTTAAAGAGCTCTCGCTCTCGCGTGGTGCCTTCTCAAGTGCTGGAACCTGACTGAATATTTGTTTTAAATTATGTGCTAACAAAGAAATGTAAAATAAAAACTTTCATATATCGACACTTGCTATTTGTAAAAAGTGGTTATAGAATAACAAAAAACAATGATAAACTGAAAAAGTTTAACCTTAAAATGAAATATTTTAAGAAAGTTTATGAACAGTTCTTCTATAACCAAAAAAGCCGAATGTTTCAATATTTGTTGCATACTTTTGTCGGACAATGTATAATAAATATTTAATTTAGTAGGTACCTACTTACACTTCAATGCCGATATAACAAATTGAGGGACGTAAAACAATGAATTATTTACCCGAAACAAACAATTTCTAAATTCTCAATAGTGTGTAGGTAATAGATTTAAATTTCTAATTTCACCGTCTTATTTGAAAATATAATTTTTCGAAACCTACCAATTGTTTTAACAGACGTTTATTTTCTTTATTTTATTTGCTACAACTTTGTTTGTTTAATAGATTTTTGTTTTATTTTTTTAATGAAAAAAAACGGCTAAAAATATTTTATCTACTCCACCATTGATAAGCTGTGACTTTATGGCGTATTAGTCACGGGATGAAGTTAGCAACAGTGGCTTTTGGTCATTTTAGTCACGGGCTGAAGTTAGCTTTAATATTAATTGGGAAAAAGTGAGGTTAAATCCGTTGACAGTTGACGGATGTCAAATGTTTAACAAATAAAATTGGCTTTAAATTCTTATTTATGTTCGTCGTAGATTAAGTATAGTATGCAACT